TGTTTGTGTTGTTCTGTGTGTAGGTAGCGGCCTTGCAACGGGCTGATCCCCCGTCCTAGAAGCCCTACCGACTGTGTAGAGGATTAAGAAACTGAAAAGCGGCCAAGGTCCAAGAAAAGGACTGTAAAGCCATAGACAGATTTAATATAACGTCACTGCCTTGCATCTTCAGAATAAGTTTTGTTAATCACACAAATAGTTTATGTAATTGTACTAAGCTAAGTGTAAAGAAATCCAATCTGTCATTCAGAATTTATTTCGTAAACTTTAAAACGCTGAATTTTGAGATTTGATAAGGGTACCAAGGATTGCGGAGACAAGGCGTCTGTAAGCGTCAGTAAGCACTGTACAGCGTAATGTACCACATGGAATATTTGTTTGTGTTTGTACTAAAAGTACAGCACTCGGCACAAGGAAACACACAGCGATTATAAATCATCATTACACATTTCAAAAGAAATTTAAAGAATCAAAGCCGCCTATAAGAATGGTTTTTAGGACCATATAGAACAGTGATTCTCAACCTTTGTGAGACCGCGGTCCGGTAAATTCCTTTTTTATAAGGCGAGGACCCGGTGTCGGACCGCGGCCCGACTGTTGAGAAACACTGATATGGAACACTCACAATATGAATGTATGTGATGCATGGGCAACCCGCTAGGTGTGCTGTAGTCGCAGCAGTATAAAGGTGATGCGGTTTATTCTGCTTGTTTTGTTCTGTGTTCTGTATTTTCTGTACATTTTGTAGAAGCGTGATAGTTCAGGAATTGTTGCGAACTAAGTGTGTGGCCAATTCAGTTCCGATATCTCCATTTTATAAGGGTTACATAGAGTTTACAGAGCCCTGTTGTCTGTGTAGAGGGAAGCATTCGAGAATTCTGTCACCAGACGGCAGACGACTCTCGTACGCTTTCGTATATCGCGAGTGGAACTGCTGAAGCTGCAGGTATTCCTAAAGCCTCACTCTCTGCAGCAAGAAAAATGTTTCTACACGCTACTCCAAAGGTAAATTATGAAATCTCTTTTCTTTACGTAAGAAGAACTCTGCCCCCTTGGGTTGATGATAAAATAGAGAGGTTTGCTTAAGAATATGTTTGCGTGTTGTCTGTACTTTTATAGCTTGTACTGAGAAATATACTTGAAAGTCTGAAGTCTTGCTCCACATTGCCGTACTGCTGCATAAGACGAATAGTCTTTTATAAAAGTTGGATAGATCATAATTTAAACTACCGAAGATCTAGACTAAATTAAAGAGGCAGATTGTAAATTTAGGAAGAATATTCATTATAAATATATTTCACTAACCTTATTTAAAAATTCTTCAATTCCCTTCTGACATTGATACTTTTTGTATTATGCCATACTTAACAATTTTAGAACATCCAATTACGTAAATATTTAGAGTTTGTGTAACTTTCCAACCAATTGTTTCTTACATGCCCAGAATCTTCGCTTCATTTTCTGATGTGTCCATGTTTCATAAATGGAAGGGCACACGGTAGCGTAGTTGGTTGAGACACAATGCTACAAGCCGGAAGGTCGTGGGATCGAATCCAGATGAGGTCATTGGATTTTTTCAATTTACCTAATCCTTCCAGCCGATTATGTCCCTGGGGTCGACTCAGCCTCTAACAGAAATGAGTACCAGGAATATTCCTGGGGGTAAAGGGCGGCCGACGCGTAAGGCTGACAACCTCGCCGCCATCTGTGAGTCGATTGTCTAGAAAATGTGTGGGCCTCGACGCCTCACGACCCTATGGGCCTCCACGGCCTGTTACAGGGATAGCTTTACTTTACTTACTTTTACATATGTGAATGGAAGTGTATCGAAATGCATTGAATTTGGCTTGTGCCATGTAGAGAGAGTACCTAGCAGTAAATCTTGAGCAGCTGCTCTCGTTCTTCTGCCTTACGGAGGAAGAGGAAGGAGCAGAATCTCAAGAAGAAAATCAGATCAGCCATAGAGGAGACACAATAGACTAATTGAGAAGACAATGGAGATACTGAAAATGATGATGACCATGAAAGGGAAACGATAATTGTTTTCATAAAAACCCATTATTTTAGATACACCGAAAAATTACATACATCTAAACAGAGGAAGCAGATCGTACTGGCTGAGCGGTTTAAGGTATGAAATTGCTTCGAACACTGGGATCGTGGGATCGAATCCCACTCAAGACAAAGTTGTCTGTTTGCGTTTATTCTGTATTCGTGCTGGGTAGCAGCATTGCGACGGGCTGATACTCCATCCAAGGAGCCTGTCCAAGGACGGTCTAAGACGTAGAAATTGAAGTGAAACTAGCGTTTCACAGATGCCCTGTGCTGCAATTGGGAGCAAGAAGAAGGAAGAAGAAGAACAAGAAAAACATGGGTTTAATGGAAATTTTGATGAATTTTATCTTGTTTTACCTTGAAAAGAGGACTACAGCATGTGATTTTAACACGAAATAAGACAGTGTAGCAGTTTTAACATAATTTAATAAAATATTTGTAACATATCAAGACACCTAAAGATGGCCCCTTGGGGCCCAAACATGTAGTGTCAAAGTGTAAAATGTTATTCTAAAATTAAAATTAAGTAGTGAATAGACAAGTGTTGCAATATTTACGGACGATAAATATATGGACGTTAAGTTAAACAATTGCAACGGGATGCTGAAATACAGAATTACTCGTACAAGAAGAAACCCATTAAACCTGAAAAGTAGTCATGTTGGCAGCAGGATAACCCAGAACATTTTTGCGAAACAAATGAAGCTCATAATCTGAATTTGTAAAATAATTCACTTTCGTTTACACTCATGCACGCGAGCTTTCACCTACGCACGTACACACGTACACACACAAAGATGATTACGTAGATAGCCAGCTTCAACCCCTTCCTGCCATCTCACTGCTTACCGGATTGCGTGGAAAGGTTTGCAAGAGGAGAGACATCCCAGATGTCTCATGCATTCTCATGAAGGGGAAATTTCATTCGCTTCAAGACCCCAAGTCGAGTGGTGAGTCTATATGCCCAGCCCGTAAATCCCACTGCCTTGCATATTGCGTTACATCTGAGATGACCGCAAGTTTTCCGGGTTAGACCATAATCCTGGCTCAACGTGATCTCTTTCCAGCACTAGGAAATTCACCGATTTGGTTTAGAACGTGTCATCGCACTAGTGAGTTCCAGGATAGAGTCCGAACCCACGTGAAACAGAGGCTGGTTCCCGTAACAGGTTTGTGTTTCTGTACTAAAGCAATGTTGAGACCACATGCGGACCTCATGCGTCCGAGACATCTGCGAACAGAAAATCTTTAATCCAATTATAGACATTGTTACCCCTGTATCTCTTATAATTCAACTGAACACACACATGCACCTCAATATAACGCAACCTAACAATCGAATTTGACGCAATCCTCTCCGTCACGTCTAACAATAAGGCTGCAATAATTTTGCGTACATTTCTCCGTTCTTTATTCTTCCCTCCATCTGATACTGCTGTAAAGAGAGCAGAACTCCTGTTTCGCATTCTAGAGGTCCTTGTTTCACATCTCGGCAATTTTATCAATTAACATAATTTTTAAGCAAGCCAAGAATGAATAAATGATGTCGGGATAGCTCAGTCGGTATAGAGACTAGCCACGGGCTTGACGGCCTGGGTTCGATTCCCAGCAGCGCAAGACTTTCCTATTCTCCAAAGCTCTGGGCTCCACATGCAGGGGGTATCGAGAGCTTCTTCCCCGAGAGTAAAGGCGCAGGGGCGTGAAGCTGACCTCTCAACTCTATCTGGCACAAGGTCAACAATGGTGGAGCTATACCTCCACTCCCCCATATGTCTTCATGGCATAATGCTTAACTAGTTGAGCACAGGAACAACTTTACCTCTTTGCCGATTAAGAATAAATAACTAGGACTGACGACAAACTCCTGTTGTAGCGAAAGAGATAATTCGTTTTCAGTAACTCTCGATTTGGAAATAATACCTTTCGCTGCAGTGACGTCATAGTGAATTGTATTTACAGTTCCTGCTGTTAATCATATATAAAATTTCACGCATTTAGTATCGTTTGTTGCTCTCATAAGAAAAATGTGCCCTTAGGAATTTAACGACGCTCATCAAATTGCCGATTTAAATTGAAACTTCTTTCTTGCAACAAATTTAAATTATCATTTTCATGCAACGGCCGTAAATAGAAATATTTTATTTCAGTAAAAATTATGTGGACAGCGCCTTCCTTCACGAGACTGTAAACAGACGAAGATTCCAGTCATTTGATCCTTTCTTTTGTTCCCTCACTCACTCACTCGCGGAGCTGAGCCCTTCTTGAGGAGCCGCCAGTTCTGCAGCTACTCAAGAATTTCCCAGCATTCTATGGAACCAGAAGGTTCATTACCGTGCTCACAATAGCCCTCCACTGGTCCCTATCCTCAGCTAGATCAATCGAATCCATACCATCCCATCCTATCTTTCTAGGATCAATTTTAATATTGTTCACCCACCTACGCCTTGGTCTTCCCAGTGGTCTCTTTCCTTCTGGCTTTCCTATCAATATTCTATATGCATTCTTCTTCTCCCACATTCGTGCTATATGCCCTTCCCATCTCATCATCCTTGACTTGATCATTCTAATTATGCTTGGAGAGGAGTACAAGTTATGAAGCTCCTCATTATGCAGTAACCTTTCTTTTATTATTATTACTTACGCCTATAAATTTTAAGACATCTGAAGATCAGAACATTTATTTTCGTCAGTAGGGAGAGTTCTCTCTGATCTCAACTAGCGTGCTTGTGTTGATGACAGGAGTAGATAATGGAGCCTCTCCCCGAAAGTAAAGCGGACGAAGCCCGAATCTGGTAATTCATCTCTTGCAAACACTGAGGTTATAAGCATGTGGAGCTATATCCACTTCCCCATATAACATAACACATGGTGCGTAATTAAGCACAGGAACAATTTTATAATTACAGGTGTCTTAATTCTTGTTACGGATAGACAGACTTACATACCTGTCATCCTGTTTGGACACTTGAGATCTTTTGTGGGCTCTGAACCATCGTGCGGGCACACACAGGTGTAGTTTTTGTTCGGTAATGGATGGCATGCTGCTTCTTGTCCACAGAGACCTGGCCTGCAGCCTTCCGCTGTAACACGTGATAGTCAGACAATATGCATCAGTGCGGGAACAAGAACGGGGAACCCCGTACAAAAATGAATAACGAATGAAGAAAGCAGTCAGGAAACAATTAGGCAGACAAGAAAATAGGCATGTATACTGTTTGGTATATTACTATATATATATATATTAGGTAATTGTACGGAATAATGAATATTGCCCGTAAATATTAATGTGCGTAGTGAAACTTACAAATTGAAAATCGAAAATTTCAGAATTCCAAGGATAGTATTCTGTTATAAATACTAAAACTCAGCTAAGACTCAGCCTCTAACAGAAATAAGTACCAGGAATATTCCTGGGGGCAAAGGGGCGTACGGCGCGTAAGGCTGACAGCCTTACCGCCATCTGTGAGCCGATTGTTTAGAAAATGTGGGAGCCTCGACGTTTCACAACCCTATGGGCCTCCACGGCCTGTAACAAGGATAGCTTTAACTTTTACCTTTTATTATTACACTAGAATAATCTGGCCGCTATAATGGTATAAATTACATTTTGATGTAAAGCTGTGATCGTATTTAGAGATAATGTGTCGTTACTTCTTGTGTCGTGTTACGTAGTTTGGTTAACCATTATGGATATTATATCGCAGTCCCTTCATCACGTACACGCGCCTGTGGTCATTCGATCCGCGCCATCAGTCTGTGACCACTTGATATTAATTACAAACATTCTTGGAATCTGTTGGTTCGTGGGTAAAAATGCTTCTGTTACTCAACTCCACACAAGCGATTGCCTTGTTAAAACAACGAGCTTAATGCCATAATGCATAGCGCCATGTGAATATTTAATATTTACAGGTTTTTGTATAGGCAGAATTACGTCACATGAAAAGTCAACATCGTTTTTGCCGGGTTCTCAGAGAAACGCCTTCAAATCAGCAAGTTAAATTCACAGTAATGTGTTGCATTATTGTATCTTTTTGTACATATATTTCCGTCTTAAACGCATCTTATTGTCTAGTCACCTGTCTTCCTCACTCCATGTTTCGGCCGTATATGACCATCATCAGGTTCTGTTTATCTTTCTAAAATTATTATACTTGACGTCAATGTTATACATCGAGCGTGAACGCAATATTTCCCAATTAAAATTAATTGCTATACGGCGTCACACCCCATGAAATGATTGTCTTGCTGAGAGAAGAGTTTGTTACACTTTTTATGGAACTATGCACATAGTTATGTGCGTGATTTTTGACACATCTGTAGCCAAATAGGTTTAAGTAATATTGTTGACAAATAGGTTCATTAAATCTGGTCCACATCATGTCACCCTATTTCTTTAAGATATATTTTAACACTCTGCACCTTTCTTAGGATTTTTCTGCCTTAATTTGTCTGTTTTTCACACTTCCCCCATGCATGCTACGTACCTCATCTCTCTCGAACTCCGTGATTGGATCACCTCATATTACATATTTGGCATTGAGTTATATTAACGAAACTGCTGATTATACAAGCTTCTTCTATCCCTGTTTTACGTTTCAGCTATCCTTAACAAACACCCACATTCTGTATTCTCCTCTTACGGATTGAGCCCAAGTTTCTCTTTTTGCTTATATGCCCATAAGATTTCAACATTTTATTTTATGTTGCGTTTACAGTTTTGCTTTTCCTTTCACTGCCTCTGTAATGATTGCATTCTGCCTAGCCAGTCGTAAGCGTCTTCTTCACAAATGAATTAATGTTGATTTAAAGACGTCATTATTACAATTGAATTTCTCATTCATAAATCAATTTAACAAAAACCATCTGATGCAGTTGTATGCCTACGCTTAAATCTGTTCAACACACGGCTGATTTTCATCCTACATGTTTCCTCCTAATCCTATCATCTACGTGCAAGTAAGCCTACTCAGTATTTAGACATGAAACGTAAAATCTCTAAATAGATTTTGAGACATGGTTGAACAACCCTGAATATGACAGAGTTTTATTTAACACGTAAAGTGAAAAAGAGTATTTTGACGAATGGATCAGATGGTTTTCGTTAAATTTTTATGTCGAATTCAAGAGTGGCCTTTCTTTCTGATTTAGAATTTAGCAGAACATAAGTAGATGAAGTAACAGGAGGTTAGAGAAAACTGCATAATGAGGAGCTACATAACTTGTACTCTTCTCCAAGTATAATTAGAGCGATGAAGTCAAGGAGGGTGAGATTGGCAGGATATGTAGTACGAATGGGGGAGAAGACGAATGCTTATTGGATATTGGTGGGAAAGCCAGAAAGAAGGAGACCACTGGGAAGACCAAGACATAGGTGTGTGAGCAAAATTAAAACCGATCTTAGAGAGATGGGATGGAATGGTATGGATTGGACTGATCTGGCTCAGTGTAGGGGCCAGTGGAGGGCTCTTGTGAACGCGGTAATGAACCTTCTGGTTCCTTAAAATGCTGGGAAGTTTTTGAGTAGCTGCACAATTGGCAGCTTCTCAAGAAGGGCTCAGCTCCATGAGTGAGCAGAACATAAGTTGTTTTGTTTAATTTCGAGTTCTGTCATTCCATCATGTACCTTGTAATGTATTTATTCGTTTGAATTTTGCCAGGTCGTAATTAGGACTACACGTGAGGAAGTGATGTCTCGCGCAGTGACGTAAGGCTAAAAATGCTTATTTCCTAGTCAGTGAAGCCTGTCAGCTGATGAAATTAATCACAGGATAATCCGCTATAAACATACACTTCTGAGCAACATGTGGAGAAATCTCGTTTTCGGCGTCGTATTTCGCATGTGGTTAAGTAAGTTTTATCCATGACCACAACAAAACAATGGGTTTCCAATGAATTGCCTGAAAAGCTATTTCTTTTTTGTGTTGAAGGATAACCTTACTTAGCCATATGTTTGCGACACACAACAGGATGCGCACTGTGAAAGCACTGTTTCGCAGTATATCATTGGCTAATTCTCATCCGTTGTGTAAATAAATCCTATATGCTTGTCCAATATTAGTACACTGTTTATGCACTTCCTATGATTAGTGCCACAAGGTAATTTAGAATCCTCAAACGCCTGAAATGTTACTGATTACGTATTTACATGGATCGAAAGAGGCAATAAACACAGCAGAAACTGACATATAATACAATCAGATCCGGTTATACAGAGGTCATAGTGGCAGATGGCATCAGGGTTGCTGGTATTGCACCCCGCAGAGGTTTCAAATATTCCAGAGGGAAAAGGTAAAGCCCAGACTTTAATAACATTTGTATTTCGGGTATTCCTCTTTGTAATTGGTTTAGAAATGTTTATTAAATAATATTTTCGGTATCGAACTAAAGAAATGACCTGAGTTCATGACTAGATACTCCTTAGAAATTTTGCTAACAACTGAAAAAACAATGGGAGTACAATGAGACAGTTCATCAGCTATTCAAAAATTTCGATTAAGATGGAAGTATAGTAAAACATTCTCATTGAGTTTGGAGTACCTAGGAAATCAGTCAGGCTAAATGAATATGAGCCGGTCACGGTAGCCGAGCGGTCTAAGGCATGCACTGTCTTCGCTCGCTCGGAAACCGAGATCGTGGGTTCGAATCCCACTCAGGGCATGGATGTGTGTATGTGCGTTTTTCTGTGTTTGTATACAGGTAGAGGCCTTGCGACGAGCTGATCACCCGCCCAAGGAGTCCTACCGAATCTGTAAGATCTAGAAAAACCGAAGTGAACGGAGAAGTTCATGGAGGTAGGCCTAGGCCCACTGGGGCTGTAGTGCCAAGGAAAAAAAATGAATATGAGTATAAAAAGTAAACTAGCATAGAAACACACAAACTATACAAATAATATGTAATAACAATATCCTTTACATATAGCGGATAAGAGAAAACATCACACTACATGATGACACGAATACGCACGAGCAATAAGAAAAGTTGCGCAAACAGACAGTTTGGACTCGCAGACGCTACCCACAAGAAGAATGGGATTCATTTGGTTTTAACAAAGATTAATGAGGGTTTACATATTTTAATATTTAATTTAAATTTTGCAATTAAGGAATATCCCATTGCAAGTGATATGATATTGTGACCTACCGTGCAGCGCAGCAGTTTTTGCAGATGATGAGCGTGCACGGCCGAAATGTGTTGTGAACAAGGTGCATAAATACAATAATATAAATTAATGTGTTTAAATGAAACCTACACTAAAGGTCGTGCAGGTAAATACTTCTCCGATACCCTTCCTATTAAAGTGGTCTTAAAGAAGTAGATGCTTTGTCGCCATTGATTTTCAATTTTGCTTCAGAATATGTCATTATAAGTTATTATAAGTCCAAGAAGACCAGGTGGGACGGAAATTAAATGGGACACATCAACTGCTGGTCTATGCTGATGATACAGATTTATTGGGACTTAATATATATATTTTTTCATAAAGAAAATCACAGAAATTTTAATTGACGCCAGTAAATGTGTTGGTCTAGAAGGAAACGTAGAGAAAACTAAGTATATGTCGCTGTCTCGACACCAAATTCCGGGGCAAAATCGTGACATAAAGCTAGCTAACAGATACTTTGAAAATGTGGAAAATTTAAGATATGTTGGAAAGAGCGTAACAGGTCAAAATTTCATTCAGGAGGAAATTAGGAGCAGATTAAATTCGAGTAATTCGTGCTGCCATTCAGTTCAGAACTTTGTAGTCTCATCTTCTGTATAAATTCAAACATAAAATAATATAACTTTTTCTGTGGTTTTGTATGAGTATGAAACTTTGCATCTTTCATGTAGGAAAGAACGTAGACTCTGGGTATTTCAGAACAGGTTGCTGAAGATATTATTTGTACAGAGAGAGATGATGTGACAGGAGGTTGGAGAAAACTGCATAATGAGGAGCTTCATAACTTGTGCTTATATGTTTAGAGTGGAACACAGAAGTTGTAATCGGCGCTAGTAAGGAGGTGGGTCTGGAAGTAAACACAGGCAATACTAAGCATATGTTGATGTCTCTTCACCAGAATGCGGGGCAAAATCC